GCAGAGCAGCGTTTTCTGAGAAATGAAACCACTGACTCCTCTTTATCATGTCCAGGAGTCCATTGCTAGTTGTAAGACAGATGTGCTAGGTGACGACCTCAGACAATAACATCGTGTAGACATGACAGAATCCGAACAGGAGAAACAGGACGAACACCGCGTTGGTGTCCACCGCTCTGCGCCCGATCGTCGATCACTTTGACACCGGTGTGCGGTAGCCTTGTACGCAGAGAGCTCTCTAATCACAGAAGGTTCAAAACCAGCTGCTTGCGGAGGCCAAACGTGATCACACGCCAGGGAAAGGGTGTGCAATTTGATTCTGCGACCTCAAGACAAAGAAACTGGATTTGGCCCAGATTTTTGTGGGATTGTTTCAGACTTTTAGGGGTTTTTCCTCCACTCCATGATGAACATTTTGGCCTAATGAAAAAGTCTCAGCCCTCATGCTTTCGGTTTTTAAAGTAACGAACAAGATTTTCAAATCGGTTCGAATATCATTCCAGCGGTCTGTCAGCGCCCTTTACCCGGGACCAGAGCTTTTCCTCCCCGCAAACTGTTTTTGTAAGAAACGCTGCCACCTAGCCGTCGCTGGGGGAATTACAACTTCAGTAGTCGCTCTATGTGGGATTCAAGGGTGTGTGGGATTCCGTGCCTGTGTGAACTCCAAAGACACTTTAAATGTGGAGTTACTTTCCACAACTGACTTTCCCGCAGGTGGAAATCTTGAGATAAGTGAATGGCAAGCAATAGGCTTTCTTAAAGCAGCTCATTCGAGGGGAAAATGATGGCTAATGTCAGTGTTTACATTTGTCCAGATATTCCCAACAGCCCACATTAAATAGGCTCATTCTTTTGTGCCTCATTTGTAACTCGATAGAGTTGTCTGAAATCAAATGGAAGCTAAAAATAAATGATAGCAAAAAAGGGGGGAGAACAGTGCCTTTGTAGAGCTGCAGTACATTTATAACAAATACACACTTCTATTATTGTCTTCTGGGAAAATTTTTAAGAGAGTGTGATGGGTTCTTTTCAAAAGGGGGACAGATCTTTGGCCCCAGAACTTCTGCAATCACGAAGATGTCCAGCATGAACCTAAGGGACATTTCAACTCATGTCAGGAGGGACTCACCGTATAAACCGCAGCCGTCTCATCATATATTTTAATATTTGTGTTTTCACAAAGGTGAAAGACAAAATCTGCCCGGAGATTTAGAAGCATCTCCTAAATACTATGATCCAGTCCACATGACTTTCTGGGAATTGTAGCTTGTCCCACTCCCTTTATCACTGTCCTAAGAGGTGCTGGCATGGAGAAATCATGCAGGCCAGTTAACAGTGGTGTTGGGGTATAAGCCCAAAGAGCTTGCACACAGGGACTCACCCCTAGGTTGCAAAGCTAAGTAGATGACAAATGTTCAGCAGATAAAACTTTTGTTCAGAGGATAAAGTCAGTTCCTGTTTTCTAGCTAAGCTGAGTGAAATGAGGGGAAATTTTCTCCCAGTCTTGTCAGGGATATTTGCTCCAGTTATTATAAAGTTCTTTAAAAGTAAAAGGAATTTTCACCATGTCAATCATTTATTTCAAACTCCAGTATGGCGCCCCTGCTCAGCCCTGCGCACTACCCACACTGGGAGATGCTGTCTCAATGTCGAGATCTCCTGATCACAGTGCTGCCGCCACTCTGCATTTAGGTCTTAAGGCCCTGGCACGTTGTCTGCTCCTTGCCGCTGGGGTGTGTGTGCATCACGCTGAAGAGACAGTTTATGCTAATGAATGCTGAAGATGATTCAAATGTGCGGAGGGTCCGGCTGAAAGGCTGGCCACAGCACACTCTACAGCTCATGGTCCGCCATGCCTTGCTGTCGGACATTAAAATGTGTTCAACCTCCTGAGAATCTTGTTCAAAGATAGGACCTGGAGATTTGTTTGTTTTGTTTTGTGGTGGCGGTGGTGATACTAGGGGCTCAGGGGATCGTATGCATGGCAGGCAACCACAGCCACTGAGGTAGGTCTTCAGTTTACTTTTTACCTTCAATTCTTTTGAGATTGAGTTCCATTTCGTTGCCCAGGCAGGTCTTGAAATGTCAGTCCTCCTGCCGTGGGCTCCTGAGTCGCTGGGATCACAGGTCTGCCAGCCAGTACACTCTTTCAAACTGGTTCCTATGTGAAAGTGATAGTGCCAGTTTGTGGGCTATAAGGTCCAAGGAACGAAAGCTCCCAGTTTTAGTGAGTCTAGAGAGAGAATCTGATTTATTACAAAGTCAGAGAGAGAGCTTTCCCCTTAAAGAGAAAAATCATCCCCCCCCCCATGTTTTTGATGCATTTGTGTTTTTAAACAAAGACACTCACAAAGCTGTTTTTAAAACAAAGTCTTTTAGGCTGCTAAGATGACTCAGCAAGTACAGGCGCTTGCTACCAAGCCTGACCACCTGAGTTCAGTTCTTGGGCCCCACAAGGTAGGAGAGAACCAATTCCAGCAAGTTGTGCCAAAGTACACCATATCTGCACACACACACACACACACACACACACACACACACACTACAGCTTAAAATTTTTAAATAAATTTTTTTTTAATTTGGTCCTACGAGCTCAAGTTTCTTGTTCCTGAGTGTCTAAGATTTTAGAATAAATACTCCTACTCTAAATGGTATTAAAGACTCTGACTTGTGGGACCATGTGGCTACGAGAACTGCGCAACCACCAACTCCGTCTTGAGGCAAAAAGGACAGCGTAAAATAAAGATAGATTTCTGAATGTGAAGAGACTAAAATCAGACTCAGGATTTCTCTGGGATTACTTCTCAGGCCTGGTGTCTCTAATGTATTCAAAGATGTTAGATTTCTGAGCAGCTTAAAGAGACAGGAGGCAGGAAAAAGACTGGATAACTGGGGATGGAGGGTGAAAAAAGTCAGAGAGACACTTGGAGTTTATAGAGGGGTTGAGAGAGGGGACATGAGATGTTCAAGCCTGCCATTTCTCCCTTCTTGTATTATCTGCTTCATAGAGTGAGGCCATCTTGGGAGTCAGTCTGGCCCACTGATAGCAGCCTGGGCAGGGCCAGCTATAAGCCCATAAGAATTCTAGTTTTTACAACCGAGGTATCCTACCAAAAGCCACTTTGAAAATTTCCTGGATTTATTCCGAGGAAATACTCTTTCAGGTACCTTTGTCTGCACTTTTCTGGTGACCGTCATGTCACCCGTTTCTGCTGTGCCACAGGGGCATTCTGTCTATGAAGAGGCACCAGCAGTGGGTCCCTCCTTTGGAGCTCGTTGGTGTTGGGTATCAGGCATTATCACATCCGCGCTGTAGCCCAGTCCTCCCTTATCCCCTCCTTCACCATCTCAGGAGTTAGTCTGAATAAATTTCTTAGCCCACTGCCCATCTCCACGTCAGTCTCACAAGAAAACCAGAGACCCACAGTGATTTCAAACATCTGGAGCAGCACAATACTGAGGCACTTAGAATCATTTCCTTCTGTAGTGGCAAATGGAAGCGGGACACAGTGAATGAACTCTTAAAGAATGAGCTGCCACACACTCACACAGAAGAAGCTGGGCTGGAAACATAGCCCAGTGATAGAGCGCTCGCCTAGTGTTTTCAAGGACCTGGATCATTCAACTCCTGTTACTGGGAGAAGGAGCGGGGGGGGGGGGAGTTCTAATGGCTAGAACTGCCAGACAGGGCAAAATGGTCTAGACTATCTCATGATTGAGTTTCCTATTGTTACAGTCATTATGAAAAAGCTGCTTGCTGCACAGAAGGTGTGCTCTGTCTGTCTGTCTGTCTCTGTCTGTCTCTTTGTCTCTGTATCTATCTCTGGCTCTGGCTCTGGCTCTCTCTCTCACACACACACAAACACATACACACATGTGCCCCCACCACCATACATACTGGCACACTGAAGACACTGAACACTCACGACAGGAACTGATTCATAGCACCAAACTGTTGAGGAAAGTCACTCCAGAACGTGGTACTTCTACACTTTTCCATGATGGCTCAATGGCATGCAAGACCAGACTGGCCATTACCCACATACCTTCCTTTACACCAAAGAACCCACAGCAAACTGGATAGGGCCCTAGGCTAATTGTTTCCTTGGTGGCATCAAAACCAAACCTCACAGGTGCTTAAGTTGAACACTCTACAGAACAAGGCCCCACAGCTGATGTTCTAGTGCGTCTCCATCCACACCTGGTTCTCAGCTTATCAAGCGCAACCTCAATGATGCTCATCTCCAAGCCCTTTCCTTCCTCCTTTCATCACAACATTGGAGCACCAAGGACGAAACACACATTTTCCCCTTTCGCTATTTCCATCCTAGGTAACAGTTATCTTAGACAGTGAAATGAGGAGGTGGAAAGGTTTGGTAGAAAAATCTACTGCACAGGCCAAAGAGGGCCTGCCGGGTGTATAAATATTTATGGAGCACCTACCAGGGATGGGCCTCTCTTGCAAGGACTACGGACAGAACAGGATGAGGCAGCGGTCCCAGTGTTACACAGCTTATATCTGAATGTATGGAAGAACTTGACAGACCTTTCATTGTGAGAAGCCATCAAAGCCACAATCAACAGTAGCAGTCCTAGCTCATACCTTAGTGGCCTGGGCAGGGGCTCTGAGGCAGACTATTCCAGAGCCTGGCTCTGATCTCTGGCACTAAAACAGAGAGTACTTGAGAGTCTCCAAATTGTTATCATTCCCTCTTCTTCTTCTTTTTTTTTTTTTTCACCTTCAAATCTCAGCAGCATCCCTGACATTTTTTATCTGCATTTTTTCAAGAAATGTTTTGTTATACTAACAGTGCCTTAAGGCAAATTCATCAATTTTGCAAGATGAATTTCTTCATCTGGAAAGGCAAGCTCAGCAATATTTGGGGGGGGGGGGTGTTGAGAACTGACAGTGCAGCTGACCGACTGGAAGCAGAGGCAGTGGGAGGGCCCTCAGTGGTATAAATAAATAGGAGTGTGGAGCTAGGGACCCACGGCTTGGACTCAGAGCTGAAGGGTGAACTCCACCTCCAGGCAGAATGAGACTCAGCACAGCAGCCCTGCTTCTCCTACTGGCCAGCTGCCTGTCTCCAGGACACGGTGAGGACTTTGTCTTGTGATTTCACTAGCCTTTGAACAGTTCTCCTCACCAGTTCTCCTTCAGTTGAAAGTGGGGAGGAAGTCTTACCAAAGGGGGAAAAATACTCAGTTGCTCTCAGGTTGTTGAAGTGTAAAATTTTGGGGGATTTAACTCTCTGAAAAGGGAAGCTTTCACAGTGATAACTTTTATTTGCAGAAGAGAAAGGCTGGACAGCAAGTGTGCATGACTTGCGTTTAGTGTGTACACCGCAAGACTGTCAGCTCAGCCCTCTCTGAGAAGACCTCTTTGCATAAACTCTTCTTTGCTCTGCCTGTCCACGTTGCTCCTTCTCACCAGACCTTGGTCTTTTGAGTTCAACATCCCCCATACAATCGCACAGGCCTGACAGTAAACACAGCAGAGGGGAGAAGCTGATGTGCAGCTGGAGCGAGTCTTGTCTCTGTGTGAATGGATAAACACCTACCTGAATGGCAGGGTGCCTAGGCAGCTGAAGGGGTGGAAGTGTGGGCAGAAAGAAACTCTCAGGTTTACGGACAATCCGTTACTCTTAAAATGCTGAAGGGTCCCCCCAGCTCCCAGGCCCCATTTTCACTCTTCACATTTCTTCTCGTTGCTCTCCTCTTCCATGAAGCTTTTCTGCTGCTGGTGGCACAGTTGGCCTTAGGAAGGCACTGTCCTCAACATCAGTACAGAGCCTGTGTGTGGCACCAGCCCTGCGGTGTTCTGTCATTCCCTTGCTCAACCTTTCAAACTGTAAACTCCCTGGGAACTTGACACTTTTACTTATAAAAAAAGGATTTGATAAACGATGTTTGTTTGCTTGTTTGTTTTGTTTAGGGAGACAAAAGTAAGTAAGTGGCTTTAAACTTATAAAAATCATCCTTCTTCAGCTTCTCAAATGCTCAGATTACTCAGCATCGATTTCTTAAAAAAAAAAAAAAAAACAAAACTTAGATTTCATGGAAACTCATACCAATTACCAATTACCAATAAAATGTCTATAACCAGTAAGTACTGTGGTCTTAATTGATTACTGTAAGTATTACACTCTTAAATTTTTATTATTGGTTTTTCTTTGGTAATAATAAACACAAGTAAAGAAGTATCCTCCATGCGGTTTCTCAGACAGAGAAGTGGGGAAGGTGGAAGAGAAAGATGTTAACCATCTTGGCAAGTCCTCTGCTTTTGTGCTGAGACCGGAGAGGAGTTTATTTCACGTCATGTTAACTGTAATGATTGTGAAGAGCAAAGTTCATGTCAATTAAGGCTTTGGTAGGATACATTTGAGAGAGCTCAAGGCAAAACAGAAATATACAAACTAAACACATATGCAGCTACAAGTGCTGGCTTGAAGTGTTCGGCTCTTCCAATTCGATAGTTAAGATTAATAATTCAGTTCTGCTTCTAGGTTATAGTCCAAGAGGTTGAAGCGGCTGATTCTCTCTTTACAGGTATCCTGGAGGCCAATTACACAAACTTAAAGTGCAGGTGTTTCAGCATGACTTCAACCTTTATCTATCCAGGCATCATAGAGCGGATTCAAATTACACCTCCTGGGAATGGCTGCCCAAATTATGAAGCCGTGTAAGTTGCAAGGAAAAAAATTACATAATTTCTCTCTTCTAGTGAAAATCAGATGGAATATATTTGCAACCAACAAACTAGTATGGTAGCAAGAATCTCAGAGACCAGCTTGATGTTGCTAAATATATGAAATCGGTAATGAAAATTTGTAATATTTAAGTACTTGTTGTTTTAGCTATACAAAACCGTTTTACCTTTGTTCACTCACTTTATTTACAAGCTGCTCCGCTGCGGCCTGTCTGTGGTGGTTACAGAGGCTGAAGCTGGTTAAGGAGATTAACTCATGAAGCGTCAGGAGGCTAACCTGCCTACCATACCTGCAGACAGGATGGAGTTAGGGTTCCATCTCCACTACACAAACCCTTGAAGGAAGCTTACACAGAGCCTCTTCCTCCGGGCTGGAACCTGCTGTTTACCTGCAGCTCCTCTCACATTTATCCTTTGCCCTCCCTCTCCCTCCTCCTTTTCCTCACCTTCATTCATCTCTTTGTGGACAGTGCTATGGAGGAGACCCAGGACCTCACAGATACTAGACCGGCTTTACTCCCAGGAAGCCCACAAGAACTTCCCCAGGCTTTGAGAAGTTTGTAAGCCGCTGTTTGTTTGTCCCATTTTGAAACAAATGCTTTGTGCCTGGGGCCAGATGTGTTTGACTTGCAAGGTAGAAACACAGGTTATCGACAGCACATGAAAGTTTTTCACTATGATGGCGTTGTACTCTTGCCAATGGCTTCACCAATGAGCGTTCTAACTATACCACGGTTACTTCCCTGCAACTCAGCAGTTAGCCGTGGGCTCTACCGGCGGGGCAGAACAGCAGAACTCTTGTCTTTTGGCTACATCTCTCTTGACTCAAGGCTTTTCGCCTCTCAGGGAAGTAACACACCCTAATTGCCTCTGCTTTCCTAACATCAATTATTTTGAAATAGTGAAAGTTTCACTCTATGTCTTCTAGTAAAATTCAGCATTTTCGAACATTAGACAGATATAGAAAAGGAAGCTGCAAACTGTTGTGAGAAATTCACATTAGTTAGGGGTGAAAATATCAAGATCAAGTGGCATAAACATGTTTTGCCATTCTGATTTCAAAACCAAACTGGCAGATACTGCCTTGAGGACCCACGTTCTTGCTCCATGGTTTATCTGCTACATTAAGAAACTGTATGTTGAGGGAGGGGGCTACAGCTGGGATACAAAGTGAATAAACTGTAATTTATTTAAAAAAATAATAATTTTTTAAGAAAGTGACTATGTTGTTTGAAGTAATACAAGTTAGTATGTACAGTCTCCCAGCATTCTATTGCTTGGGAGACCTTACTTTTCCATCACAGGGGAAAACCTTAATGCCATATCCAGGAACTTGACCAACTATTCAGTCATAACTCTTGGAAAGTAGTTGCTGAAAGTGTGGGTTCTGGAGTCAGACCTTTCCAAGGAACCCTGTTGCAGTGTATATTTGCTATACAATCTTAGACATATTGTTTGAACTCTCTGTACTTTAAGCTCATCATCAGAGAAGGTAATAGTGGTTCTAGCACTGGATTTCTGTGGGATTGTGGGATGAATTGAGAAGACCATGTTGCCTGTTAGGCTTCACGTATGGCACACAGTGAGTGCAATCCTTGACAGATGAGTTGTTGGCTCTGTTGTTGATTACTTTCTTAGATGAGGAAAAGCCTTGCCAGCTAGTGGCTTGAAGGAATGTCACCAAGACCAATCAGCTTCATGTTAAAATATATTCAAATTTTTCAGATAAACTGTTTTTCAAGACAGTATTTTCTATAGTGTGTTTTGTTCTCCTGAGCCCGATGGACAAGCACGTTTGAATGATACTGGAATATAACTTTAGAAGTGACCCAACTCTGGAGCCTGCTCTTTGACTCTTCTCCAACTTAAGTAAAGATTATCAACGAGACAGTCACTTAGGACTTTTGAGATTCTGCCAACTTTGGATTCAACAAGCTCCCACAATTTGGTACACATATGGTAGCAGTCTTCTCCTTTCTTAGGCCTCACACCACAAATCGCTTAGTCCACATTCAAAACCTCCCACTCAAATTTCACTCTTCTAAGAATAATTGTTTTCATAATCAACTCTCTTCATTATTAAAAAAAAAAAAATACAAGGTGGACCAAAATGTACTACTATTTTGTTTTATTTTTGTTTATTTCTCCTCAGGATCTGGACCAAGAGTAAGAAAGTTCTGTGTGTGAATCCTTATGCCAGATGGTTTCAGAAAGTATTGAGACTTTTTCGGGGGTAAGTTAAGCGTACCGATAGCTTGCAGCCAAGTTGAGGAACACTTTCCAATTAGGAAAAGTTTGTAGGACAAATGCCTGTTCTGCTGTTGTCACAGATTAGCTAGAACAGAGACGGCTCAGTCCAGCAGTTCAGTAAATTGAAGCAAGTGTGCACAACAGCCGTTATTTGATGTCACCGGAGGAAAGCTACAGTTTCTTGTGTGCATTCCTCTAAGTGTGACTTCTTTCTGTTTTTAATTCACAGCAGAGGCACGTCTTCAACTCCCGTCGCTCCAGTGAATAAGAGAAGGGCTGCCTGAAGCCATTACCCTCAGAGGATGCCTGTATCCCCCCTTTTATCCCTGCTCTGAATTTTAGTTATGTTCTTAGTTGAAGAATTTCCAAGAAAATAATTTCCCTCTGCAAACAAAGATGCCTGTAGGTAAACCCCCCCACCACCACAGGAGCTGAAAGGGGAACACTCACATTTCTCTCAACCTGCATTCTTGTTCCTTAATGAAGGACATTTGAAGATGGGCATTTAGTGACAACCCGCTTGAGCTGCATTTGGTGATAGGCCTGTCGTTTAATGTTAAACTGTCCTGAATTGTAGAGAAATGAAAACGTACGTGTCGAATCTGAACCTGTGGCTTGTACTAACAAAAGACTGATGGGGTGTACTTCAATTATTTTACACCCTTGAGATGAAGAGGTTTCCAGAATATTCTCCAGAAGTTTCCTGGGAAGCTGACACAGTACCAGCCTAACGTAATGCATTCAGGTTGTGAAAAGCTCAGGAGGGAAATAGTCCTTCTACTCTGAAAGGTTTCTTGTATAAGATTTATTGTCTTGGATTAAAACCAGCAACAGTGAAAGATCCTCGGCTTAAAATTCCAGGCTCTACAGCAGTATACAAATGTATTCCTTTGCACCATGACCCTGGTAATCTTTTTCATTATTATTTTTTTGTTCACATCTTTCACACAGACAAAAATACCAGTCTCCTGTATCAAATTCTTTAATGTTTCCTATTCATCTAATGTCATTCAATAAACTTAATCAGCATTTCACTTATGACTGGTTCATTTTTAAAAGAAAGTTTTTCTCACATTGAGATGCTCTTCAGCTGTTCCTAAGAAGACATGAGGTTTCAATCATGTTCATTTTTTCTGCCTATCAGAGCCCTCCACAGATGACCTCAAATTATGTCAGCCACAAGAGCAGTTATACAGTGGGAAAGGTTTGGCTCTGGGGTCTCTTTCTCCAGGCAGACTAAATGAGATTTCCTCTATGCTTCAAACCCTGACTCAAGCCCATTCTCACTGTCTGTTTACATGGATTCCCCCAAGTCTCCAGCATTTCATTTGACAAAGTGTTGCCTTGAGTTGACAAGCAGAGAGAGGACTTAAATGCTGTTCTTTCCCACCAGAGCTGAGGTCATAGCCTGACTCTGCCTCTTTGCCTTCTTCAGCTGCTTTGTGGTCTGTTTTCATCACATCTGGCTCCCTCTTTCATTTAGCTCCACTTTTTTTTTTTTTCCGGCAGGGGTCAGATGTTGGGTTTTGTATGGGTTTGTGCATAGGCTCATGTGTGGGAAGGTGCAGGTGTGAGAAGAAAGAGTTCAACCCGATATCATTCTTCAGGAATCACCCATCTTAATTTTCCAGACAGGGTCTCTCTTCGAATGGGGAGCTCACCAAGAAGGGTTGGTGAACCTGTCTCCCTTCCCCAGGAGAGGGATTATGTGGGTTCTGGGGACCTGAACTCAGGTCTCCAGGATTGCAGGACAAGTGCTTTCCTCCTTGAGCTATTTCCACAGCCCTTTCCCAACTTCCTTTTTATTTTAGGTTGTCTTGTTTTGTTTTGCTTTTGAGACGGGATCTCAGTCTATAGCCTGGGTTAGTCTGAAACTCACTATGTATCCTAGGCTGGCCTTGAATTGCAGAACTCTTCCTGCCTCAGCCACCTAGGGAATATAGCTGTGAGCCACAATACTTGGCTTTCTCCTTAAAAAAAAAAATTAAATACTTTGGGAATGAATAAAAGAGACCTATATACATTATGTTCTCTGTCATCTATTAACATTTTATTACAAATATGCAAGGGGAATAGTGTCATCAAAATCCTACAATTAATGCTTTTTAAACCTCAACAGTTAGAGATTGGGAATCAGGCTTCAATTTTATTATGGTACATAGCTCAATCAATATTCAGGATCCTCCAATAATCAATGCAACCATTTCTCATGAGGCAGCTATTATTAACCATCCTGTTATAGCTTCCAGAAATGAGTTACAGTAGTGCCAGTGCCCAGAATGAGGTGCCAGTAGTGGGCACAGGACCCATTCCTCTAACACTGCTATCTACACGAGATAGATACCATCAGCAGACACTGAAGCAAATAGATAGTTCTTGCCTTCATTTATGTAACTAGTAAAGCAGAATTTGAACCCTTTGACACCTGACTCCTCATTACATTAGAGTCAAAATACTACAAATGTATTTTCTGACTTCAGCCCCTTGGCCTCCCCTCCTCTTCAGAGCCAGTCAAAGCCGGAAGATATGCCATGGTAGGAGGGGCTTAAGGGGACTTGGGAAAGGTAAAGCGCCTTTGACTCTCACCTGCTTAGACCTGGTGTATGTCTCTTGTTGACTGGACATAGCAGACTAGTGGTTGCACTGCATGGAAGCTGTATGTGAAAATTATGCTTCCTTCCTAAAAACCCTACAAGATTATTCATGACTAGTGAACCATGTTCAGAATAAAATGCATGCCTTGACCTCTTTGCATGACCGATATAGAGTAAAAGCACTTGTATGTGTTATTTTGATGAATGCTCTGTCTCAATTGCATTTCTTCCTCCTATGTAAACCTTTCCTGTACTCTCATAAATCACCTATAGTTTTATTTTTTTAAAAAAAAAACTGTATTCAATAAAGACAGGAGATAACATGTCTTTTTCTTCTTCCTGGGCCTTAGTTGTAGATCATCCCCTTTAAACAATGTAACTCCGAAGCCTCCAAATCACTGACATGGTTGCTACTGAAGCACATAGGTGGATCCTCTCCCATCACCCTCCTTACCCATGTCTGGCCTTTCTCCTGAACAGTGAACTTGCTGACTTTGGCTTGCTCTGACTCATGTGGAAAGTCAACAATCTCAGCTCTACCCAGCATCTGCAGCTCCGGAGGAGGGGGTAGCTCTGGCTGCATAAATGAGGCATCCAAAGCTCTGGGGAGGGGCTCTTCAGGCTCAGGCTGCAAAGATGGGGTGCTAAGGATGTGAGGGACATCTCAGGCTGCTTATGTGGGGCATCTGAGGCTCTGGGGCTATCTCAGGCTGCATAGAAGGAGTGCCTAAGGCTTTGGGGGGACGTTTTGGGCTGCAAAGAAGGGGATCCTGAAGCTTTGTGGGGCATCTCAGGCTGCATAGATGGGGTATCTGAGGCTCAGGGGGGAGGGGCTATGCAGGCTATGCAGCCATAACATGGAGTTCTAGAGGTGCATGAGGCTCCGAGAGGAACTCAGGATATACAGTCAGCTGAGCCGTGCTGTGCGCCCTGTTGCTGGTGGCATGACTGTAGACCATTGCATTACATTGCTTTTTTTTTTTTTTTTTTTACCTAAAGGCATTACAGTGTTTTCATAAGGAAATGATAAATGTTTCAGGCAGTAGATGAACTTACCCTGATTTGAACCTCACGCAGTGTAGACAGAATCAAGACAGAACACATTGCTCCCTCAAAATATGTACATTTTTAAAGCATCAGTTTAAAGAGCTAAAAATAAAACCTTCAGATGAGGGGAGGTTGGGATCACCCTCTCTGTTAACATCCTTTGCTCACAGTTCAGTCCCATGGGGTGGGGGTCCAGGCTGCTGCAGAATGTTGAGGTCTGAAGGCTGTGGATAAAGGTGGAAAGGGGATTAAATGAAACAAATGAGTGGCCTAAACTGTTTTTCTGGCCTAGCAGCATGGCCTAGCAGCACCCATTGCTTAGACTTCACCATAGCTTTAAGATTTAAAAGGATCAAGTCAAAATTAGCTGCAAGAAAATGTGTTATTGAACTAATTAATGGAGGGTCGGAAGAAAGGTTTGGAGGGGAAGAATCGTAAATTGTTAAGAATGGACTTAGGCACTCCTGACTACATGCATGCATCGGCACACGCGTGTGCCGATCAATTAAAACCCAAAGGAAACAGAGTTGAAGGGAAAACACGGAGTGATGTTTACCAAAACAAAAGGATTGTTCTGGGAAGCTGAGCACGGGAGCCGCAGGTCTAGCTGTACAACGATGCCCTAGCAGCAGAACACAGGAAACCAGAAAAGACTGAGCGCTGCTCAGATTCCCCAACCTCCAGACCTCCAGGAGGGGAGGATTCTCCTACTGTGTCCGAAGGGCTGGTTTATTCATTCACCAGCTGATAGATGTTTAAATTGTTTTCTATTCGGGATGTGATGAATGAAACTGCTGACCATACACACGTGTAAGTTTTTGTACAAACACACCCTTGTTTCTCTCTAGTAAAAGAGAGAGCTTCTCTCTGTTAAGTACTTAGAAGAGTATCGTGTGGGGTATGTGTGTTTAACTTAACTTTATACAAATCTGTTATTCTGTTCCCCATGGTCAGTGCAGCCTTACTAAAGATAACTGTTCCAGTTGCTTTGTAACTTTGCCAGCATCAGGTCTGATGATTTACTAGGCTGGGTCACAGAACTCAGGGAAGCCCCTTACTTGTCACACCAGTCATGTTTGTGTATCTGTCAGAGTACCCGAGAGAGCAACATGACAGAGGAGAGACTCATCTTGGCTTACAGTTTTAGGGGATTCGGTCCATGGTTGCTCAGCTCCATAAGCTTGGCTAAAACATCCTAGCAATGGGAGGTTTTAAGTTGTGACATTTCAATTGAGTTTATAGTCTCAATTTATATTTCCCTAATGGGCACAGTTGTTGAACAGGCTTTTCTGTGCATGTTTGAGATTTATTTATTTACAGAAGAAATGGAAATCATTTTTCCATTGAGTTAAGTTGTCAAAAGGGAACTTGACCGTGTTTATGAGTCTATTTGTATCAGTCTCTTATCGTTCACTCATCCATGTGTTTTTCCTCTTTCTGGTACTACAATGGCCTTGATCAGTGCAGCTTAATGTAAGCCTTAAATTTCTTTATCGAGGATCTTTAAACTTTGTGCTCCTAAAAAGTTGTTTTGGCTGATTCAAGTTCTGTTTGCAAGCTCTTCCATACAAAGGGTAGAATCATCTTGTCAGTTTCTGCCCCCAAGGAGAATTTTGTTAGGATTGCATCAAAATTGTGGGTCAGTTTGGGGAGAATTGACATCTGACTGTTGAGTCTTCCAGTATATGAACACAGCCTTCCTCTCTATATGACATTTCTCTAGTTTCTCTCAATAAGTGTTCACATTGCCTCTTGCAGTGTCCCCAAAACCAAACTATGAGCTGAAGCATTTGAGAGCATTCCTCTGCTGAAGCCAGTATTTATCATCCACATCATTCGAAAGACAGTCTGAAGCAGTTCTGCCTTAGCTGTCTTTGGCAGTATCTCCCTCTTTACTCCAGAAAAGGGTGCGTCTCCTAGAAGGAATTAGATGGAATATCCTCAGACTTCCCCAACTAGATCCACACATCTGCTCAGAACCCCCATCCCTGTCTGCTTGCTGCATGGGCAACTGGCACACTTCCCTTCCCTCCAAGGCCAATCTCTTCACCTGTGTCTTAAACACACCCCTCCCACCATCCAAGAATCCACATGATACCAACTACCCTTCCTAAATAAGCAGGCCCTTCCTCTCAATCAGCTATGTCTCTAAACCATGCAAACAGGTTCCAGTCTCTTCCATCTCGAAGAACACAACTTTTAGAAAAGGCTGCTACCTGGTCACTTTCCAGCTACTTTGTTCAGTGCCTTCCTTACTCCAAATTGCTCTCCAAATATGGCTTCTAGCACGCCTCTTCCCCATCCCCACTGTCAGAAGGTCATCAGTGACCATGTGTAAAGCAACTCAAGCTGCTGCTGTTTCTATGACAATGCTGCTTGAGATAATTGTTTGC